AAAGAACAAGAGCTCTGGTTCCTTGTGAGGAACCCGATTTGGGTTCCTCGTCGTGAGGGACCCAGATCGGATTCAAGCTGCGTTCCTCCAAAGGAACCTAGATCTGGGTTCCTCCGGAGGAACCCATGAAGAACCCAAGCTGAGTTCCTCCGGAGGAACCCGATCTGGGTTCCTCACGACGAGGAACCCAAAGTCGGGTTCCTCCCGAGGAACCCATGAGGAACCCGAGCTGGGTTCCTCACAACGAGGAACCCAGATCAGGTTCCTCACAAGGAACCCAGAGGTTCTTTTTTTATTTTATTTTTATTTTTTTATGGTTGGAGAATTTTGACATTAAAAATTGTGCCATGTCAAGCCACATCATCAAGAAAAAGCATCCACATTGGATTATTAACGGCACAAAGTGGCCACGTCAATTTTTGGGTGCCACGTAGTGCATTCTGTAATGGTACTGTGACAGCACGTTAAAATGTTGGGTTTTTTACAGGTTTTGAAAAATTGAGGGTATGAATAGGGAGGAAAAATTCTAGAAGGTGTTGACCATGAAAAAAAAATAAATTGAGGGTGCAAATAGGAGCTTTTGCCATTTTGAAACAAATAAGTTTACCAAACACTATTCTTAACGATTTGAACAAAACTACTAACAGTTACTTCCAAACTGCTACACCAAACGAACTCATTATCCGTAGTCGGTTATTTGGTTTGCTACAATGTGGTCATTATGGCTCCGAAAGAACCAAAGGATATTCAACAATGAGGATAAATGGTAAAGTCCTCGAGCTTATTAAATTTAGAACTCTTTCTTGAATTAAAACAAGGTTAAGGTTTGATTTAACAAAGGAATTATGGTATAACGACCCCAGGGAAGCCTTAAATTACGGATCTGAGATTTTGCCTTCTAAATTTTGGAACTTGAGAGGAATTCAGCAGTGAGTTTGTGTTTTATATGTGGTATTATCAAAACATTATTTATATTCAAGATGTAATGAATAAAGTATCCCTTATATTCTAATAAATATAATGGTGGGGACTGAGCTGTGCGAATTATAATGTGTAGGAAGGCTTTTGTTCAACATGTCTTCTATTCAAAACACAAATGGGTTAGGCAGAGCTGGGAAACCATTTGGTTTGGCCTCACGTGGACCATATGGTTAGCAAGAAATGAACAAATTTTTAGAAAAAAAGAAAGCTCTATTGAAAGGTTGTTTGGCCTTGTACAGATTCGAACATTCTTTTAGATCAGTGGAAGGGTGGCTGGATCGTTGTTTTCTAGTGCAGATTGGATACAAAGCCCGGTGTTGTGCTTGAAGTCAATACAAGGTGAGTTGAAGAGGAAGTGAAGAGCTCACAGTGTCGACACATCATTTTGGTGTCGATACCAAACGGGAGGGCTTAGCATTCAAAATCCCAACACGGACTAGGTGTTGACACGTAATTTTGGTGTCGACACCAAACGGAAGGACTGAGCATCCAAACCCGACACGGACGTGGTGTTGACACATAGTTTTGGTGTCGACACCCAGCGGCAGGGATATTCAACTATGTAATCTATTCCTTTTAAGTTGGGATGTTTAAAGGTTTGAGGTACCCTTACACTTCTTTTTTCAATAAATATTATTTTTTCTGTTCAACAAAAAATATTATAATAAATATAATTATCTCGATAATAAAAAAATTGCAAATAAAGCACCAAAGTCTTTGTCCATATTTCTACTACCATCAAACACGCGTTAGTATAGCCAAAGAATTATTAAAAAAAGAAACATTTCAACTATAAAACAATGATTTCTCTTTGAAAAAAAAGTAAATAAGTCAGTTAATTGTACTGTTTATATTCAAGATAAATGTTTCTTGTGGAGCCACCCCCAGTTTAGAGGAGTTTTTTTTTTTTTTGACATGATGAAATAATTAAATTAAATATTAATATTTATTATTATTAAAAATATTAAATTTTAAAATTAAATACATTTTATTTACTATCTAATAAATAACGTGACCAATATGATCACATGGAGGATTGCAGAGGAGTTAATTATCAAGTGTAGCATTATAGAAAATCTCAAGCCATGGTCTGCGTCAGCCGCGAAAACCTGACAAAAAGTAGTGTCTTTTTTCCTTTCAAATTCGATGAGAAAGGAAATAATTAGCAAATGGACCTGTGTAAATCCAATTAAAGTTAAAGTTGGATTTTCCCTCTTCCAGTAAACTCTATTTCCAGGATAAGGAATTACACCTTATAATTGACTACTACTTCCAAGAATGATTAAAGAAACATTTTTATTATAAAAGCATGATTTCCCTTAGGAGAATAAGTAAATAAGTCTATCAATTGCTTTGTTAATACTCAAGAAAAATGATTAATTAATGTGGAGCCAGAGCCAGCTACTGTTTTGAAATCCGGTCTGAACCAACCGGTTCAATCAGAATCAGAGACCGGGATTCACAACACTGGCGGCTGTTTTGCTTTGGCACCCCAAACCCTAGGGTCCACAAGTAGCAGCATGGTTTCTATCCCCTCCTATTGATTCTACTGTGGTTGTCTTGATTTGCTAAAATTTACAATTATTTCTAGCAGCTATTTTCCTTGTGATTACTAAATTTTACAATTGTTAACACAATTATTCACAGTTGTGTTAGTCGGCGTGGGTTTTAGCGACAGATCATTACCACAATTGTTGATTAGTTCCTGTGCTTGGAAAAGAATGGAAAGTCCCGCGTTAAATCCTTTGGGCAAAATCCTTTGGGCAAATTCAGCAGTAGCGTTGGATGAGTAAGGGTTGAAGCGGTAACATGGTTTTTGCTTGATCAATGGACTCATCCGTGAAGCGTGGTTTTGGTGATTTAATAAAATTTTGCAGTGAGTTTTGTTTCATTGTGGTCATGGATTTCAATAACGCCTCCAGCTCAATTTTGGATGCTAACTTTCGATTGGACCCTTTGTTTACTTGGTTTTACATCACACAAGAGATTATCAATATTATATGGTTACAGCTTTGTCGCCGGTCTTCTGAGGCCACGTATGTTTTTGCAATGGTTTTGTTTATGCTAGCCACCTAAAAATATAGATAAAGGAGGCATTATCTGCCCGCTAGAATAATTGTTTCATGTAAGTGGTAGAGCTATTCGTGAGTTGAAACTGTTGATAGCCTAAATACTTGCTCTTCTCTAAAACTGACATAATGGTTGAGAATATTTAGTAATTTGGAATACTTATAATGACTTATCTAGACAACGTTTACTTATGCAATCCTTAAATACAAATGGTTTTTTATACTTAATTATGAGTATTCATCATGACCATAGCCTAAGTTTATATCTAATGTTATAGAATATGGTTTTGATTTCTTTTGATTTAGTTAAATGCTATGATGTAATCGCAAGTTTTTTTATTTTAATTCAATTTTTACTTTTAAATAAAAAATTATTAAATATATT